GCCGCCCCAGGCCCCACTGGGCTGGGAGGCAAGGGGTGGGAAACGCCTGCCTGCAGAGGCCCGGACCCTCCCTCGGAAAACTCCAGCATAGACTGGGGCTCACAGCGGTGGAATGAAGTTGCTTCCCAGAGACTCCCAGAGACCCAGATTGGGACACACCAAGCCTGTCACACCCGTGAACACTTTCCCAGCCCTACTGCGTGCCACACATGAGGAAGCATGCTCTCATCCCGGTCCCTTCCATCACACATATGTGTGCTCGCGTCCCCCACCCTGTGCAAGGGCGTGCTCTTGGACACCCTGTTTGTCTTTCCACCTCATGTAGACCCACACAGGCCTGCAACCCCCTTCCCACACGTGCACATGTTCTGACGTGTGTCATCTGCATGGCCTAACATAAGAAGTCCCTCACTTCCGGACTCAGGCCCTGGATAGAAACCACCTTGCTCACCCAGGGGCCTCTCATTTGGGTACCAAGTTCCTGCCTCAACCTCCCCCCTACTCCCAAGCTTTCTGGCTCCAGCTGAGACAGTGTTGGGGGTGGGGAAATGAGGGGGTCAGGGGGCCGACCTCCCTTCACCCCAGCTCAGCCTGGGGCCCTGGGAACCTGGGCTTGCAGGGGGCGGAGGCAGCCCCCAAACAGGAAATGCCTCTCTGGGCTCCTGCCGCAGGAAGGCAGGGTGCGTGGGTTAGGGGGCTGGGTGGGGGCTGGGCTGAACTCGGGATCCGTGAGGCTGGCTGTGATGGGACTGGTGCAAGGCCTTGTATGGGCATGGGGCACACAGTGACACACGTGTATGTGACACAGGCGTCACGTGTGTGGAGCCCTCCCTGTCCCCAGGGCCTGCTGCGTGGGCCTGGCCAGGGTCCTCTTCCTTCCCTTCCTGGAGGCCTTTGGAGGCATGTGTGCTGAGCCCATCACCCAGGATGGTTCCCCAGGAGCCGGTTGGTGAATTACCCCATGCACACCCCCTGTACTCTCAGCAGAAATTTGAGCCCAGGGTGGAGAGGTGGAGGAGGGCTTCCGCCCCTCAGTGTACTGTCCTGTTTCAGCTTTCCACTCTGCCACCAATCTACTTTGGGACTGCAGGGAAGTGGGTCTTCTTTTTTTTTTTTTTTTTTTTTGATTGGAGTCTCACTCTGTCAGGCTGGAGTGCAGTGGCATGCTCAAGGCCAAGGCAGCCTCGACCTGTTGAGCTCCAGCGATCCTTCTGTCTCAGCCTTCCAAGTAACTGGAAATACGGGGACAGGCTGCCATGCCCAGCTAATTTTTTTATTTATTGTAGAGATGAGATCTCGCCAAGTTGCCCAGCCTGGTCTTGAACCCCTGGGCTATCTTCTTGCCTCCACCTCTCAAAGTGCTAGGATTACGGCGTGAGCCACCACACCCGACTGGACCCATTTTTCTTATCTCCAACATGGGGGTGATGAGTCCAGGCCCTTTATCTCACTGCATCATAACACCGTGTTTGTGGGTGTGCTTTGTCAGCTGTGGAACCTCAGGCAAATGCTTCTTAGTCTTCCTAGCAATCCGGGTGGCGGCGGGACAGGGTGTGTGTTGTTAACCACTCACCGTGCCTGGACTGACCCCGCAGACCCAGCCAGCACCCCTGAGGACCAGGGCATCCGGAGTGCTTGCTGTGTGTCCGGAAGTCCCTTCTTACAAGGGCCACGCCTGAGAGCACACAGACGATCCTCTTCTCAGGAGAGGAAAGTCAATATGGGGCAGTTCATCCTTCCACTGGCTCCGGCCCCAGCCTTGAGATCATCCTCGATTTTTTCTCCCACACCCCATGTCCAGTCTCTCATCTAATCCTGTCGGCCTCACTTTCCAAACAGATCCAGAGTCTGAACGCCCCTCACCATCCTCCTCCCCACCCACCCCGGGCCCATGCCACAAGCCTCTCTGGTCTAGATTCCCCCAACAGCCTTTCCCCGGGTCTCTCTCTTGCCTCTCCATCCTGCCAGAGGGATCCTTTTAAACCCCAAGTCAGATCTGCTCACTCCTCTGCTTGAAATTTTCTGAGGCCCCCATCATGCTCAGAGGAAAGTCCAAAGGCCTTGCCATAGCTTCCAGGTCTGTGTGATCTGCCGCCAAGCCCCTCATCCCAGCCCTCCCCCTCACTCCCTCTGTTCCAGACACTGGCCTCACTGCTGTTCCTTAAACTCTCCAGACATTCTACCTTAGGGCCTTTGCCTTGGCTGTTCCCCCTGCCAGGAATGCTCTTCCACCAGATGCACTGTTTCTTCTCGAGTCTTTCTGCCTCCAGTATCAGAGTCCTTGACCATGCCCCAATTCCCCACCATCCCCTGGGGCTTCCTACCCCGGATCTTGCTAATTACCCCCTCTGCACTTAGCACAGTCATGGTATATACTTACTTATGGATTTGCTTGGTATGAATCCCCCTAGCCAGGGTTTCTCGACCTTGGCATTATTGATGTCCAGGGTTGGATGGTAATTTGTCGTAGGGGCTGTGTCATGCATTGTAAGGTATCATGTAGCAGTATCCATAGCTCCTACCTAGATGCCAGTAGCATCCCTACAGCTGGAACTATCAAAAATGTCACTAAAAGGTGGCTCAGCCTGTAGTCCCAGCACTTTGAGAGGCCAAGGTGGTAGGATTGCTTGAGGCCAGGAGTTCGAGACCAGCCTGGGCAACATAGCGTGACTTCATCATTACCAAAAAAAAAAAAAAGAAAAAATTAGCTGGGAATGGTGGTGTGCACCTGTAGTCCCAGCTACTCAGGAGACAGAGGAGGAAGGATCACCTAAGCCCAGGAAATCAAGGCTGAGGTGAGCTGTGATTGTGCCAATGCACTCCAGCCTGGGCGATAGAGTGAGACTGTGACTCAAACAAAGAAAAAAAAATTTTAAAAGGCTGGGTGTGGGGCTCAGCCTGTCATCCCAGCACTTTGGGAGGCCGAGGCTGAAATAAGCTAAATCAGTTAATAAAATCAAATTGTTAGCAAAGTAATCATATTAACCAGCTTACTCCATTTTGTTTAAAACTTTCATCTTATTTACCTGTCTGACCTAAGAATCAATGCCTACGTGTAATTAAAGTCACATTCCCATGACCACAGACCCCTAGCTTTGTCTCCTTTGGGGCAGGTTATGCTGACCGTTGCCTGCTGACCGTTACAGAACTCCTTTGCCATAGCTTCCGTGTAATTGTATGCTTTGTTAACTGAAATCAAGTGTTACGCTTTGACATTTTCATAGTTTGTTCTTATATTGTTAGTGACCTAAACAAGGAACTTCATTGTATAATGATTCTTCTTCCCTATCTCTATGTAACTACCTTAAACTATATCTTAATGGCAGAACTCCAGGAATTTTCTGGGCACTGGCTATACCTAGGACATGAAATTAATCAAAGCTCCCTAACAATCAAAAGTTCCCATTTTGGTGGCCAAGTTGTTTGTTAATAGTTGCTATGGTCACTAAGTTACTACGTAGCCACTGCTGCAAATTCTACCTATAAAAGCTTGTCACAAACTGCACCAATTTGCCAAGAGTTTTTCTGGCATTTGCCTGCTCTTGACCCGGGCGTTTAATAAATTCATAATTAATTAAACTCAATTTGCTGGCGTAACTTCTTCTTGCTTATTCGATCATAACAAGGCAAGAGGATTGCCTGAACCTGAGGATTCGAGACCAGCCTGGGCAACTTCATGAGACCTTGTCTCTACAATAAATCAAAGAATAAGCCGGGCATGGTAGCGTGTGCAGGTAGTTCCAGCTACTTGGAAGGCTGAAGTGGAAGGATCGCCTGAGTCCAGCAGGTCGAGGCTGTGGTAGCTGTGAGCGTGCCACTGCACTCCAGCCTGGGTGACAGAGTGAGACTCCAACTCAAAAAAAAAAAATAGGAAGAAGGCATACCAGGAAGATAGCACAGCCTAGACAAATACAATGAGGTGGGAGAGCTTACGATACTTTTGGACAATACAAAGTTCTCTGCCGGGCCTGGAGTGAGAGACATCAACAGGGACAGTGAGAAGGAGTGGGGAGAGAATATCAGAGATAGTAGAGGCCTGGCTGGGAAGGTGTGGAAGTTGCTTCTGAAAGGCTGAGCCTCCATGGTGGAGGCCATGGGGAAGTGAGGCATGATGAGAGATCTTCATGGCTTGTGTGTGGTGGGCGGAGGGGAACGGAGGCCAGGGACCACTCAGGAGGCTGTTGCAATAGTCTGGGAAAGGGGAGGGAGCTGGCTGGAGAACCGGGCAGCAGGGCGGGCCGGACTGGGGAAGGCAACCTCTGGAGGCTCCTTAGGGGCGGTCCTGAGCCCCATCCAAGGGTGTGGCGAGCCCAGTCATGATTCAGGCAATGGCCAGTGCTGGGACGT